GGAAAGAGTACATTAAATACAGCAAATAAAAAACTACAGTTGGTAGAGAAGTCTCATTAAACAGAAGCTGGATAGATTCTTAGAAGCTAATATAAATGATTTATTCAATTTTCTTTCCAAAAACCTGACCAGTAATTCACGACAACATTCTCTAACAGTGTAAAAACATTTATTCTGAGAACATTAATAGTGCTCCCTCCATATACATGCTATTTGAATACAGTTCTTGACTTTAATATGTGTCCTTAACAAGATCTTGGTCTCATGTTACTTATGAAAGCACAGACTTGAGCTTTTGAGATGTCCTTATATGCACCTTTTCATAATAATCACCTGAAATGTATAGTAAAACTCTCAGTAAATGGACATGTTAAATATTTTTAAAGCCTCTTAGAGACACTTGTACTCTCTCTTCTTCTGCATTCAGAAGATCTGTAAGGAACACATTCCAGGCTTTTCATCTTTTGCAAGATATGAAAAGGGAATCACAGTGTGGAATGGCACTTCCTTTTCCTTCAGAAGTGATTAAGGCAAAATTTAAATTAGAGCTGAAGTCAATATCCAAACAGCATGTCTGGTCCCATAAACTGTACTTCCGATTTTCTAGCCCTGGAGAAAGGAGTAAAGAGACAACCTTACAGAGTGCCCAAAGGAGCAATGAAGAGAAGTATCTTACAGTTCAGGAAGAACTGTAAACATTGACTTGTAGCTCTCCCCAAAGCCCTTAGCTCCAATGATCTTTGAGGATGAACTACAAACACTTGTTCCTGATTTCTAACAAATTGATTTTGTCTGTCCTCCAAAACCAAAAGTGTTAAGTCAGTCCACAATATTAGACTATTTCAAAAGAGTTTAAAAAAAAAGAAGTGTTTAGATGCCTGAGAGTAAAGATGTCTACCAGCTGGGATTTTCAAAACTTCCTGGCTGTTTCCTTGATTTCAGTCCAAGTCAGGTGCAAAAGTTTTTCCATAAACAGCCACATCTTTGGATGTTTAAGTATCTTTTAAAATCTGACTTAACTGAATATATGACAAACTATGTAAACAGTCATCTGAAATATTTTGCTCTGAAAAACCTGTACAATTAAACTCAAAACACTGTATCATTCATGTGGATTTTACTTCCACTCATGGAACAAAAAAAAAGGTGTTTTCCCATCTTTTGATCCAAAAGCAAATTTAAGTCTTCAGAACCAAGATTTTATTACTACTAGATCTAGTGAGGAAAGTTACTACATATTTTTAATATTGCCTACTTTTCCTCAATCTACACATAGCTCCACACTGAAGAGTAGCAAAGTAACACATGCTCTATGCTTCATCTTGATTTTATAGAGCAGCTTGCAGAAATTAAGCTTTCAAATGCCTGCTTGAATTTGTTTGGACAAGCAAGATACATCAAGAAATCAGATACCTCAAAGGTTCTCATTCAGTGATGTAAAATGGTCTTTAACAGCCAGTCAACAAATGCAAATATGTATTTTTGGGGTTTTGATGACACACTGTTGTAAAACAGAGGAATAATGTGCAAGTGTCAAATAGTCCATCATCGGTCCTAAGAGAGCAACACAAAAGGCCTCGAAAGCATTCTCCCCTTGATGATTGAAGGGAAAGAAAAGCTTACACTAAGATCAGATCGAGGGTAAAATGTAATACAACTTAAGGACAATGGGCCTACACTTGTGTGGCTCATCTGAATTACATAAACTCATGGCAAAATAAATGGACATAGGCTTTTGCTACTTGCTTAATATACACATGTTTTAAAGAAAATGAGGAAAGTAATAAATAAAAAAATGAACACTAAATTGAAATTAAGAGACCCGAGTTTAATCCCATTCCTTTCCCCATCTTACTGAATGATGTTATCAGTTGTAAGACCCATCATATTGTCTTGTATTATCTATAAATTGGACAACAGAATTCACTTTTTCATAAAGCATGCTAAAAAGTTACCTAACTGCTGAAGTTTATTACTAATTTTACCAGCTTGTTATGACAGTTTTGAAACCTAATTCCACGAACTTCTGCAGAACTTCACTGTCAGAAACCTGGAGTAAGATACTGCTGACTCAAGAGTGTACACGTTGCAGACATTTTATTACAGACTTAATAAACAAGGTACAGATATGTTTTTTTACACTGATAATGGACTGATTTAACACATTCTGAGCCTGAAATTTTCATGCAATTCATATTTATAAAGTCAGCTGTTCTGACTGCATAGAAAGCAGCCTAGAGCAAGGAAATACATGGAGATACAGTGCAAAGATGTGCCCATTTCTGACTCTCTGGAGTTCTGGCTGCTGATTCAGCGAAAAAAAAGAATGAGTGCCTCCATACACTAGAGATTCAATCCCAGGACCCTCCTCTGAGAGTAGGTGCATACTACTTACTCCTTTCATAAATTTCAGCTGCATTTGAATTAGATTTGTCTATTACATGCATATGTTTCATTGGAATTTTGTTGTTGGCATGTTTATTTTAAATGTCCATAAAGCGTCTTTATTTTATAACAAGTATTTGTGGCTGCTTTTGAAAATATATAAAATGCTCCACTAGACTTTTTTCATTCAAATACAAGCAAAGAAATATGTGGATTATGGATCGTAAATGGCCTTTAGATGTTTGTACACACCATCATTGGGGGTTTTTTATCCCTATGGTTTTGGATTTTAAGTGATAGAGCTTATTAAGGAAGAAAAAAAAAAGAGAAGACCAGGAGTGATTCTTGGCTCTTCATTTACTAGTGCAAGTTTTAAAAGCTATCATGGCCCTCATCTGCAGAATTTAAAGGGATATATAGTGTTTCTGAAACTGTCTCTGTGTTGTGCACAAAATGCTTATTCAGTCATAATACCATTACTGTCTTTAGATATAATCACATCATTGAACCTACTAAAAAAAGAAATATTCTGTCTTTATTAGAATATTCTGTTGTTAGTCTATAGATCCTTCATTGCAACAAACTGAACCTGAAACATTCAAACATCAGTTTAATAAACTGAGTCACCACCTAAAGAGGGTAGCTGTAAGATGGCATCATACAACACTGTACAGACTAAAGGCAACTTTTCCATGCTGTAAAACATAGAAAGCAACAACAAAGACTTTTGAGCTTTCTGAAAATGTGACTCAGATGAAAGTACATCATGCCAGCCACAAAAAATTAACACAAGGATAATCTGGTTCAGAAAAATAAATTTTCATCAATCACCTTTCTCATTAAGGTTACGGAAAAGTTTGGATGATCCTTTCCAAACTGGTGGTGTCTCCATCAGTATCTGATTCAGTTCCTAAAAAATAAGATTTAAAAAATATAAAAGCATATATTTAAACATTTAATGAAATAGTTAACAGATTCTGAGTAAATTCTAGGAAATCAATAAAAAAGACAAGGAACTGCAAGCAAATCTGCCAGTTAATTTAACTTCACTTTACCACAATGATTTTGGAAGTACTCAAGCACTATATAAATTTTGTACACACGACTATTGCAAGAATTGAGCATCTGCATGAATACCAAGTGTTTGCTGAGCTGAAGAGAGACATAATATATTTGTGGCTGAAAATACTCACTGCTGCTCATATTCACTAAAGCCAAGGGTAAGTCCCTTGGATTTCAGTAAGGTTTTCATGCAAAATCCGAGCAACTGTTCTTTTAAAACACTGAACCTGAACTAAAGCAAACTTTGTCCAAGAATATAAATGTACTTTATTTAAAAGACAGAGAAACAGACAGAGTTATTATGCACTTGTACAAATATTTTTAAAAAAAAGTAAGAGGCACTTAAACACCACAAAAGGGAGAGAAAATGGTATAAGTATTTCAGTCAGTTTTGGATACACCTGTTAGACTCAGACACTAAGAAATACAGTCAGAGATGGACTGAGGAAGGAACTGACAGAGTCTTGAGAAAGTCAGTAAATCCAACAAAACAGGCACAGCTGCTCAAGGATCTCTGAGATTTTGTATTCAGCTGAGTCTGAAGGTGACAAAATTGAACAAATTAAACTCTCTTGCAACTCTACATTTACATCATGAATGAAAGCAATGATCAAAATGTATGGTTATAAGCCAACACAGAAATTATTGCCCACCTGTTTTGAAAGAGATCGCCACTTTTTAGCACCTGCAACAAAAGACAAAGTTATGAATGCACAGAATGTAGTTATGCCCTTGTGGTGTCACAAAAATTAGACTGCATCTATACTGTGTTTTCTAGACAGAGAAGTGGTATTTTCCTTATTTTGTGAGTATAATCTTCAACCTGGTTCCAAAAAGAAATCTCTTTTATGTTATTAGAATCAGCTTAATACATACCTAAAGTCATAACTTTAAAGACTCAATTCAGATGTATAGTTTTAAATCCAACTCTGTTTCAGTAAGAGAAAAATCTTTCAACCTCCCAAACACATCCTTAAAACACTTAACAGGAAATAATGGCCATTCATGCTAACCTGTGGTAGCAATATTCTCAGATTATTATTTAGTAGCAGATTCCAGAATTATTACTTAGTAGCAGCAGTATTACAATGGATATTGTAGGGAGACCTGGATTATGGCCCTTGCTTCACAGACTACTCCTACATTTTAAAGCAAATACAGAAAAAAAGTCCTTGAAGCTACACCAGGTGCTAAGACCCTCTTCAGCCCTTCCTATTAACTAAGATTCAACTTCCTTTCACAGCCTCCGTCAGGCTCAATTCTTTGTACACAGTTACACAAGAGGAACTGAAGAGGGCCTCCAGTTCACAGACAGAACTGCTCATTTACACTGAAAACTGACAAGTAGGACTGACCACATCCTTTCTTCTTAACACCTTACATGACAGATTCCAGGCAGAAAGATAGCCACATTCACAACTGTTGTCCATAACCATTCAAGAATTCAAAACTTGAGGTTCATCACCACCCTCTCAAGACAAATATTTGCACACATAAAATATTAAGATAAGACACTGAATATCTGAATTCAGAAAGGCACAAAAAGTAGCATTGTATGTGGTCATATCCCTAACTTTTTGGTGGGTAAAGGCTCCTTTTTATATAGAGAAATATGCTGTGGTATTAGAAATACCTTTGTCATGATGAATTCCATGCTCTATGAAACAATTAACACAATACAGAAGCTACTCACTGTGGTCTTTCATAAGCTCATGGTTAGAAATTGACTGAAATTTTAATTTTACATCTTGGCAAATGTTCGCACCAAGACAATCCACAAATCCCACTCTAACTACAGTGGAGTTACATCCACCAACATCATAACATGAGCTAACAGATTTTCATATACTTTTCAGTTTAATTTTTTTTAATTCTAATCAAGTTTTGTCTCAAAATACCAAATAAAGCCCACCAAAACAACCCTGTTTGCCATACAAATTGATATATGTTTATGCCTACCATAAAAAACTAAAATATATCTCATTTTCCAATCAGACAATCTCCCAGTCTCACACACACACACACACAT